ATAATATTGTAATCATACACTAATTTTTATTTTTAATAAAAAAATTATATTAATTTTAAATAAAGTATAAAAAATTTTAATCTTTTCGTCTAATTAACAAATGTTGTTTATTAAGTTAATATATTTTTATGATAAATTAATGTAAAAAAATAAAGATAATAATTATTTAATACTATTAAAGATAAAAAAATAAAGTTGAAACAAATTAGATAAGTACTAATTAAAAAATATAGCCAAAAATTAAAGAATTAAAAAGGATAAATTTGGCAATTTGGTACAAAAAGCTACTTAGGCAGCTTTTTTCAATTTATTAACGGTTTAGACCCTCACCATTATCCACTAGTTCCAAACCACTAAATAAAAGTTAGTTTTAAATTACTAAATAAAAAGTTTTCCCAAACACTTAGTTTATAGTGGTTTTAAAATAAATAAATTTGTCAAACACCTATTCTTAACGGTTTCAGTAAAACCACTAATCACTATCTCCAAACCATTATATTAAACAGCCTTTGAGAGAATTGTCTAAGACGTTGTACTTTCATCAAGCGCTTGTTTTTCCTTTTTAAAAAATGAATCAATGTACTGTAGTATATATTGAGAATAGGGGCAAGAAGCTATGGTTAATAACATTTTCCTTTTTTGGTTATGTGATGTGGATTACTAGCTAGGGATTTTTAAATAATTAACTACTGCATCAAATGAAAAGAAAATCTATGGAAATCCAACATAAATGGAAAGAAATAACTATAGATGTAAATAAAAACTAATGACCAGGCCAACGACCCATATGTGTACTGTGTAGAATGGAGATGGGCCACTAGGCAACAAAAATGTGGAATGAAAAGGAAGAGGTCTAGACCCACATCTATATGTGGAATTCTCCACTCTCCTAAGATGACCCTTAATCCCTTATAGACCTGTTCTTGAGGCTTTCATTTGTTTAGATTCCACGGTGCTACCCATAAAAGTTTGAAGTGAATCAAGATCTTTGTTTTACCAATTTACCAAGAATTTTTTTTGACAGTTATGGTATTTTTAGATCAATATCAATACTAATTATTTTTTAAAAGATTTTACAAATTTACCAAGATAATTAAAAAAACCATATAAGTCTTAGAGATTTTTTTTTTCTTTTTACTAACAAATTCGAAATGGTTGGCTATAGACTCTTCATTATTATCTAATATTGTAGTTTGTTAGTTGTAAACAATATTTCTCTTAATATAATTATTTTTTGCTTTATATTTAAACAACTTTTTTAACATGAAAGAAAAAAGCTGTGATTACAATGATATAATTAAAGAAATGAAAGTGATATACTTATAATGTCATATGTGGCATTGTAAACTTCCAAGGTGATGTGTCCTTATATATTTAGCTTTTTTTATTCAAGAATCCATTCATGATATATTTTTATTATGTAAATTATATATTTTTATTGTCAAAATTTGAGTTATGACACCAAACACCTAATTTGTAAGGTTTTGAAATAGATAAGTTTACAAAACACATATCGTATAGCGGTGTGAATAAAACTACTAACTGCTATCCTCAAACGACAATACCAAATGAGCCCTTAGAAGCCTCATGATAATATATTAATAAAATAAATAAGAAACAAAGTAAAAAACGATATTACGTGATTCAAAATATTGTTAAGATGTCGTCCACAGTACAAAAGCCTTACCAGACTTTATATGTTTATGGACAATATTATAAGAATAACCTTTTTATACCACTTTTTAATATTACTACCGCATGTCATTAAATGAGTGGATGCATTCAATATCATAGGTTTCACATAAATAAAAAAAAGTCAATCATTTAAATGACACATCAAGTTGTCCCAAAAAATAGTACAAAAAGATTGTCCCAAAAGATGGTACAAAAAGATTGTTCTAAAATTATTTCTCTTCATTACTTTTCCTATATATATATATATATTATATATAGGGTGAGGGAATATATAATATAAAGAAATAATTATTAATTAAAAATATTTTACTAACGAGATTATAATCAATTTCAAATCCTTAAAATTAATTGGCAAATTGATTTTTCCTAATTAAAAATATTTTACTAATGAGATTATAATCAATTTCAAATCCTTAAAATTAATTGGCAAATTGATTTTTCCTTAGTTGATCAATCTTCATAATGATGTGATAATCCTTTGTTTATAATTAAATCAATTATTATATGGTTTATTTATTTATTTATTTTTATAATAAGATCAATTATCTTGTGATTCGATTCTTTTTAATACTTATAAATCGATCTCTCAATGACTCAAGCACAAAGTTACAAACTCAATTCTTAACAATGGCTTATTTAACTTTTTAAACTAAACTTCATGTTGAAAAGATTGATCATAAAAATTCATGGATTAGAAGTTTGTTTTCGGATATAATTTTCTAAGATAAAATGAAATGAAATGAGTACCATTCTTAATCTAAAATGATGAAATGAAATGAGTACCATTCTTAATCTAAAATGATGAAATGAAATGAGTACTATTCTCGAATCTAAATGACATGAAATGAGTTGGGAAAGCTGCTCAAGTGCAGAACCTATTGCAAATGATAGACTTGCACCCTCCTGTTTTTGGAAAGTAGGACGAATGGCATTGGTATCATGATCCAAATGGCTTTTACAGTGTAAGCTCTACCTATCTATTATTATCCAGCAATCAGTCATCTCTACTGGGAACTATAACAGAGTATGGAATTCCTTGATTTCATCCAAGGTTGGTGCATTCAATTAGCTAGCCTTACAAGATAGAATTCCCCCAAAACTTAATTTATGGAAACGTGGTATATTGAGGGATGATAGTTTGATTATCTGTAATTCATGTGGAGGGTGTAATGAAACAGCAAGTCATCTTTTCTTGCATTGCCCTGTCGCTAACAAGCTAGGGGGTAAATGTCTCCGCTGGTGGGGAGTGGTAGGAGTCATTGCTGGCTCCTGTTCGGATGCGTTTGCACAGCATGAACTCATGAAGGGTGGTTTAAATCCAGGAAGATTAGATAGGGCTGGGATGTGATTTGGTTTGCACCTATGTGGACAATTTGGCTTGCCAGAAATGGGAAAGTATTCAGCAACGAAGCACCGGACACGGGAAGACCTTTTCTTCTTAATTCAAGCCTGATGTTTTCTATAGATAAAGGGTAGGAAGGAGGGATGCAATTTTTCTCTTTCAGGCTTGGTTGCTGGATCCTGCTTCTAGCTTACAGCGAGTCTAGCTAGTAATTTTGAGTTGCATCTTGTCTCGGACCACATTTGTACTGATTCCAATACGTTGTTAATGGATTTGAATATATTTTGTACTCACAAAATAAATAAGTTTTTTGTTGTTAAAAAATATATATATAATTACAACATGCAATCAATCTGGAAGAAAAAGGAATCCCAATATTATTTTATATGTAGTTATGATTTATTTATATACAAGTTTTATACAATATATTTATATAAAATTTTAATTTTTAATTTTTTTTATTTTTAAATAATAAATCTCAATTTTTAAATAAAAAATTAAGATTTTATATAACTATAATATATATATAAATCCTTACTCTTTTATATAATGGCAAAAAAAAAAAGCTTATTATTTTCATCGAAGTAATTTATTCTATCACTAAAGATGTTTGTAACAATTAAATCTACAAATTCATCGTAGAGTTAAGGTTGTTCCATCACTAACGCAAAGTCCATGATCATTAGAATGTATATTTGTACAATGTCGCACCTTTGAGTGCATGAACTTAGTAATTCAACATTACATAGGACCTTCTCCTGCTCTTGGGTAGCTGTGGCTATACCATCGCAGGGAAATATGCAAATGCATGAATTTGAAGGCGAACCGAGTAAAGCCCTGCCATTTGGATGCTTGGAAATACAAATAGCATTGCAATTGTAGATATGAGGTACCAGATCTTCTTCACATAGCTTGCCCTCCACCATTTCTGCCAAAAAAAAAAAAAAAAGGAAGAACAAAAGATAGCATTAATTGGTCTACTATGTATATGGTTTTTTCGTTTTTTGAGAATGAATGTGGCCCATATAATGATAAAAGGCGAAAATTTGTTTGGTACAAGTACTTGAACCGAAAACTAGGAAGATGGAAACAGAGAAAAGATAGAAGCAGAGGAGCGTGGCCATTTTGACAGAATTTTCTAAGGCTTTGTGTTTCAATGAATAACAAATACACCGGTATTTATGCAGAATGGGAAAATATTTCTTGGAATTATTACAGTATTTAATTTAATTAATGTGTTTTGCTGAACATTTTTAAACGTTAATATAATAAATGCACACACTAGTAATTAGGTCGTAGAGTGGTGCAAGAAAATGTGGCTAATAATTTTTAGAATTTTTATTATTATGAGATTTTTTTTTTTTTTTTACATAGGAAATTTTGAGGGAAGGAAAATTTTTTCTCATGAAATTGGTGAGAGTAGAATTTTCAATTTGCTTGAATTCAAACTCTTAAACTTGATTGGTGAATCAATTGAAGCAATTGATTGATTCTATTATAAGATGGTTTTGTTATAAGATTAGTATAAATGTTTTCTTAAAATTTCATTTTAGAGAATATATTTAGAAGTTTGTTAAAACTCTTATAGAAAATAAAGGGGAGGAGAGTAATTAAGCATTTGGATCCTAACCATTCTGGTGAAAAAAGCACAACCTTTTTATTAATGCTTTGATCCATTACTATCTTTTTTGAATTAAATGTACTATCTATATAGAAAAAAGTGGGGGAATGGGGAATGAAGATGGGCCACTAGTCCTTTAGCAAAAATGTGGAATGAAAAGGAAGGGGTCCAGGCCCACATCCATACGAGAAATTCTCAATTTTGCAAAGGTGACCCTCACATGCCTGCTGTTGAACCTTAATGTGTTTAGATTCCACGGGTGGCTGCTACCCATAAATGAAACTTCAAAAACGACATCAGATGCAAAATGAAAATAAGCTTGGCCATTTTGACACAATTTGAAAAGGCCTTCTGTTTCAATATTGAGAATGTGGCAAGATGTGGTAATATCTTAATAATGTGTCTTTTTTGAAGATTATGGTAAGCCCACTGTTTCCTTGTTAAGCCATAATAATAGTAGAATTTGTGATGCGGATTACAGGGTTGGTTTAAATTTATTCTATTAATTGAGAAATCAACGGGAAAAATTTTTGTGAATTCTATATAAATAGAGAGGAAATCTATAAACTAATTAATAAAGATAAATTTTATACGTTACATTTATATAAAATTTTAATTTTTCATTTTTTCATTTTTAATTGTTAAGATATATCACAACTTGTCTTTCACCATTTACATCATAAAAAAGAACAAAATATACACTGCATATCTCTCATATAACATTCTGCAGAATATTTTTTCTAATGTTTTTGAATCCAATCCTTATACTGGTACAAGTACCTGAAGATGATGAAAATAAAGAAAGATGAAAGCATAGGAGCTTGGCTATTTTGACAGAATTTTCAAAGGCTTTGTGTTTCGAAGAAGCCTTTGTGCTCCCCCAATAATAATGAACAATTTATGCAGAATGGGGAAATATGAAAATAATATAATTATTATTTTTTGTATTAACTTTTTGATATCCGATAATCATATTAGGTATCGACTAATTCGAAATAGAGTCGAATTGGACCTAGTAAGGGAAAAGCTTTCTCAACGTTTGTTTTTTCATTCATAAGATTTGAATTCGCGATCTTATTTAAAGAAATCGAATTTTTTTTACTCAAACCAATAGATCATTGGTGAAAATAATATAATTATAATTTTATGTAAGATTATAAATTTATAATAATGCATAATTTTATATTTATTATTTTTGTTCACCTATTTAATAAAAACATCAAGATTATAAACTTATAATATAAGAATATCATTTTATTTTTAGAATTATATAGTATTTCATATTAGAGAAAAGTGAAAATTAAAATGTTTTAACATTTTAAATGCTAAACTCTTTATGAAATTATTTAAATATATTTAATAAAAAATTTTATATTTTAATTAATTAAAAATATCTTAATTTTTTTAATATTAATCCTAACATTTTAATTGTTATAGCGTTATGATTTTTCTCCTTCCCTTTCATTTAATATGTTTCTTATAAAGAATGAAAATTATTATAACAGTATATATGGCAAGCCAGCTCTTTATTTATTAAGTGGAATCTATGAAAGCTAGACTTTTGTTCGTAATGATCCATAGATGCTAGTCTAGCTAAATACGGTGGGCGTAAATTTATTTTGGCATAAACTTTTGATTTGGTCTTTATACTCCTATTTTGAGAGAAAAACAATTTACCTCCCTTGCAGTCCCTGTGAATCTCCATTCCTAAGATCTTCTTAACTGTACCCAAGTCTTTCATCTTGAACTCACCACTAAGCTGCTTGTTCAAATCATTAATGATTAACATGCTTTTGGCAGCAATAAGCATGTCATCAACATACAACAACAAGTAAACCCAAGAACCATCTCTAAGCTTTTTATGATATACACAACTATCATAGTTGCTCTGAGTGAATCTACTCTTAACCATGAAGTTGTCAAATCGTTTGTACCACTGCCGAGGCGATTGCTTCAATCCATATAAGGATTTCTGGAGCAAACAAACATGATCTTCTTTTCCTAAGACTATGAACCCTTCTGGCTGAGACATATAAATCTGTTCCTTCAACTCACCATGCAAGAAAGCAGTCTTTACATCAAGCTGCTCTAACTCAAGTTCATATAAAGTCACTATGGCAAGCAAAACATGGATAGAGCTGTGTTTCACCACATGAGAGAATACCTCATGGAAATCAATACCTTCTTGTTGTGTGAAACCCTTCGCAACCAATTTGGCCTTGAATCTGGGTGTCTCTACCCTTGGGATTCCTTCTTTTCTCTTGAAGACCCATTTGCATCCAACAATTCTTTGTCCCTTTGGTGGCATCACAAGCTTCCATGTCTGGTTCTTATGTAGAGACTCAATCTCCTCTGTCATGGCAGCAAGCCAATAAGGAGATTCTTACTGGTAGTTGCTTCCCGATAAGTGTTGGGATCCTCAGCCTCCACTGGTTCTATAACTGATAGAGCATAGGCAACATAATCTGTATAGCCATATCTCTGAGGTGGTTTGGTCTCCCTCCTCTATCTACCAGTAGCAATATTATACTGTTGTTGTGTTTGTTCAGGTGCCTCCACCTCCATTGGAGTATCTGTTAGCTCTGGATCTTGCACCACATCTAGATTCTCTTGGACAATGTTGTCACCTCGCACTGCCTTTTCTGGAGTTGTTGCTTCAAACTCCACCTGCTTGCTAACTCCATGGTCTGGCTTTGCAATTGTTGACTCCTCTTTTGCTCTTTGGAGCATAGTAGACTCATCAAAGGTTACATCTCTGCTAATGAGGAACCGAGGTGACTTCTGAACACACCACAGTCTATAGCCTTTTATCCCGGAAGTGCACCCTAGAAATACGCACTTCACTACCCTTGGCTCAAGTTTACCACCCCTAACATGAGCATACACAAGACAACCAAATATCCTCAACTGTGAATAATCAACAGGAGAACCTGACCATAATTCTTCTGGAGTCTTTAATCCAATTGTTGTGGATGGAGACCGATTTACAAGATAGCTAGCATGATTGACAGCTTCTGCCCAAAAGTCCTTTGATAATCCAGCATTTGAAAGCATTCACTGTGCCTTCTCCAAGAGTGTATAATTCATCCTTTCTGCAACACCGTTTTGCTGTGGTGTCATCTTGACAGTGCGATGTCTCATAATTCCATTATTCTTGCAAAAAGTATCAAACTCACCACTGTAGTGCTCAAGACTATTATCTGTTCTTAGACACTTGATTTGTTTTCCAGTCTGCTTCTCAATCAGCGTCTTCCATTGCTTAAAGGTGAGGAATACATCACTCTTACTCTTTAAGGTGTATACCCACACCTTTCTTGAATAATCATCAATGAAGGTCAACATATACACAGCTCCACCTTTTGATGCAATAAGGGAGGGACCCCACAAGTCTGAGTGAATGTAATAACTGTGCCTTGAGTTTAATGAACTCCTTTGCCAAACTGCAACCTACACTACTTGCCATAAACACAGTGCTCATAGAAGTCTAGCTTGCCAATTTTCTGGCCACACAGAAGACCCCGCTTGCTCAGCTCCATCATCCTTCTTTCACTCATATGCCCAAGTCGCATATGCCATAACCGAGTTACATCTCTATCTGGACTGCTTGAAGTTGACACAGCACATGTCCCATTGATTGTGCTTTCTTGTAAGTGATAAAGACCACCAACTTTCTTCCCCTTCAATATTACGAGAGCTCCATTAGAGACTTTGAGAACTCCACCTGTACAAGAGTATCGGCAGCCCTTGGAGTCAAGCTCACTCATGGAAATGAGATTTTTCTTCAAACCCGGCACATGACGAACCTCGAATGTTCTGACCATCCCATCATACATCTTGATTTGGATGTTGTCAATTCCAACAATAGGCAATGTTGTATCATCACCAAGAACCACCGTGCCAGTGGCTGGTTTATATGTTTCAAACTGGTCACGTCGTGGGCATACATGGAATGAGCAACCCGAATCTAAAATCCATTCCTCACCGGAGGAGTTTGTAGAGACAGATAGAACACAATCTCCATCATCTAAATTATCACTACAACTGTTGGCATCACCGGATTTTTCAACTTTCTTCTCCTTGAGCTTGGGACAATTTTTCTTAAAATGTCCTGTCTCATTGCACTCGTAACATTGAGCATGCTTGGCTCTCGATTTGGATCGAGACTTTCCTTGCTTATTGAAAGTTCTGTTATTTTGTCTACTTCTTATGATCAATCTTGCTGCTTGATCACCACTCGTCTCTGGACACCTTCTTTTTCAATTCTCTTGAATTCAGGGCCGCTTTGACATCTTCCATAGAGAGTTGATCTCTACTATGAAGATGAGTTTCAACAAAGTTGTCATAAGAGTCAGGCAATGAGTACAAAACAATAATTGCCTAGTCTTCATCTTCTATCTTCACATCGATATTCTTCAAGTCTAAAATGAGCTTGTTGAATTCATCAAGATGATCTTTGATGGAACCACCTTCATTCATACTAAGGGTGAACAACCGTTTTTTCATATACAATCGGTTAGTGACTGATTTGGTTAAGTAAAGGGCTTCCAGCTTCGACCATAATGCAGAAGCTGAATTTTCTTCTGCAACCTCCCCCAAGACTTCATGAGAAAGTGAGAGCTGAATTGCACTCAGCGCTTGCTCCTTCAAGTCTATCTTCTCTTCCTCTGGTAGAGTTTGCAACAGCCTGGCTTCCCTTTCTAGTGCTTTCCACAGCCCCTGCTGTACTAGCATGGCCCGTATCTTCAACCTCCATAAGTTGAAATTTTTGCCACCATTAAATTTCTCAATCTTGTACTTGGCTCCGGATGCCATCACGATTAAACTAATTTCTCAAGCACTAACCACCGTCGTAGCTCTAATACCAATTTGTTGGAACAAATTGCTTGAGATTCTGGTTAACCCACTACAAGATTAAGAAATTAATGGAATAAAAAATGCACCACCACAAGAAAGACATAATTTACATGGTTCAGCTCTAATTTAATTGAACCTACGTCCACGGGCACTTATAAGGAAAAATTCACTATTAAAATAGGGAGATACAATTTGTGGTACTCTCAGAAAAAATACTCAATCCCCAATTATACCCAAATCTTACTCACGGTATTTTTGAATGCGAGACACACTCAAAAAACACTCAGCAAAGTAATTTTAACCACTCTGCTCTTGCTCACCCTCACCCAAAGCACTCACAAAACTCTTCTATTTTCTAGAGCTCACTTTGCTTTGGATTGCTCTTCTTGGTGTCTTTGCCGAATGGCCAAATGGCCTTTTATAGCCAAATGCCAACCACCCACAATGAATGCAATGGGTTCCAAAGTCATCATCCAACCATGCACAATAAATGTTGCATGGACAAAGTTGTAGCAACCAAATTTCCATTCAAAGGCTGCCATGAGACTTCCAAATTTTCAACAAAATTGGGCTACCATGAGATTTCCCATGTAACCAAATTTCAAAGGCTGAAATTTGCATGCTTTTTTCAACCACCATGCAGAACCCACATGCCGCAACAATTTTGCAAATTCAAACCATGCTCCATATATTATGTTTGTTTTGATATTCAATGGTTCACGTCTTTATGCATTACTTTGAATCAAATTTTCACATCTGTCTAGGCTGATCATATGGACATGGTGTTTTGGTTTGGTTCTTAGATTCATGAATTTTGTCTTGGTAGCTTTATGCTCCACGCATTTTTGCATCTGAGTCATTAGTGATATCTAACAACCTTGAGTTTCAAATTTTGCTGCATTTGGCAAAAATCAAAACTTAGCTTATCGTGTCTTACTATTTATTTGCATTTTGTCTTTCATCTATTGTCTTTGGGTTTATATTAAAATCACTTATGATCAATTTTTTAGTTGATTGTTGTTTTTTGGTTTAAGTCTTGTAAAATATGCATGTTTAGCTTATTGAGTGAATAAAAAATGATGAACTGGTTTTCTATTTTACTTCTGCATTACTTGTCTTCGTGGTTGGATGTTGCTCTTATCACTAAAGTTGTCAATACCATATCAATATACGTACTGATTTTATTATTGAAATAATACATAGATGCTATTAAAATCTTTTGTGCATGATTTCAAATTTATTGCTATAAATATATATTTTTATAAATTAAATATTCAATTTTAAAACAATGATAAGAGAAACTAATGTTTAAACCATCATATTCTTATAAATTGAAAACAAATTTAAAACAACTAACTTTATAAAACATCCATAATTTTTTTCTTTTTTTTTTTAAACATTAAGATAATATTAAAAAGTATAACAATATTTTGAGTTTAATATCATACAATTCACAATACAAAATACTTCCACAAAAGAAAAAATCATGTCTCCTAAGTATAACAAAAATGAAAAAGACAAACTAAAACATTACTAAGAAGAGAGAGCAGTAACTGATGAGTACTGAGAACTAGAAATCTAAATTTGAAATTGTCAAAAGGGATTAAAAATATATATTTTTAGTTCTTCAACTTTTAATATATGTATATTTTTTGTACCTTCACTTTAAATTAAGGAACTAAAAATGTGCATATTTAGACAAACTTAATGGAATAACTGATAGAAGGATTAAAAAAATGCTTTTTTCATAGTTGATGGACTAAAAAAGTGCATAAAAAAGTTTAAATGATGAAAATTATGCAAAACATTAAAGTTGAAAATCAAAAATGGAATTTACCCTTTTTAAATTTAAATTGATTTGTATCGGTCAATTTTTTGTGTATCGGTTGATACCTCAAAATACTAGTCGGTACACCAAAATTTGATCAAAATTGATGAAATTTGATCCAAATGGGCAAAATTTAATTGAAATGGAATTGAACTTTGTATTGTTTTGAATTAATTAAAAAATCGATATGTATCAACCATATCTATTGGTATAAAACGAAATCAACAACATTGGTTGTCACTCCTCAGTTAGGTGGAGAAGATTCTCTCTCGAAGCTTTGCTGCTTACTTTACATTGATTTTACAACCATGTAAATGTTCGCTTGAGGGTTTGGTAGGCTGCATTCTCCGATCCAGATCTATAGAATTTCATGCAATAGGTTTTTGTCCTTGACATTCATTAGGTTCTTGATGAGTTTTTTCTTTTAGAGTCTCTGCTCATTACATTTTGTGTATGAAAGATAAAGTTAATTAGATCTACTGGAGCGTTCTGCTTTGCTGGTAGATAGATGATTTCATTCAACAAAATAACAAAACACATCAGGGGTAGAGACTAGAGAGAAAACACCCCATAAGCATTTGCATTACAAAAAGGGAGAGCAAGAGGGCAATCCTCAAACATAACAAAAGAGGGGGAGTCCATGGAGCTCCCAATTTTAGCCTTCTAATCCACACATGTTGCTTTCCCAATTTGAACACGTATACTGCCTGAAAAAATGAAAGCTTAAACACTTTAACCATTGATATATATATATATATATATACACACACGAACTAAAAAATTAACAAATAATCCAAAAAAATCTAATTAATGAATCCAACTAATTCTCCAATTTTAAAATATGCAACTGTCTAATATATGGATGATTGTGAGGTGTGATTACATCTTTTTTCACTTCTAATTATACCTTTGAGCGCTAATTTTTGTGTAGACATATTTTTAGGTAACTAGTCTCATTTTATAATTTGAAAAAATAACAAATTCTAAATTTTTCTTAATTTTTACACTTAATTTTAAATTGAGTTTTATTTGAATTTTAAGTGGGTTGTCAACAAATGTGTCATTATGTAATAGATTTTTTTAATTTAAGAATTCATCTGTAATATTATATACATCTACTTATTTAATGACATATTATATTCATTTAATGACATATTATATTCATTTAATTTCACATCATAATTACTAACAAATTAAATAACTTAGTGGTTATCTCTTTTTGCTAGAAATAAGAGATTTTAAGTTCGAGTCACATGGTATGCGCATGACATGAGATAAAGGATAAAAGATGATTGACTCCCATTATGTAATCAAGATAAAAAAAATTACACATCATAATTATAAATTTATAATTTCAAATAATATTATAATTATAACATTGTTGAACTAACCATTGAACCTTATCTTTACGTTACAAATGTGAGGTGGCAACTCCATGTCATCAATTTGATGACTTGGAAATGAGGTGGAAATTAAAGTTGGTCCATTTTAATTTAAAGATAAACTAATTGTTTTAAGTTAATAAAATAATTTTGTAAAATTGTTCAACAAATAAATATTGATTCTTTTAATAATATATTTTGCAATTGGGTTCTTCAAAGAACTCAGTGCTTGCTGGGAGTGAACCTATAGATATCTGAGTTCTTGTCGCTTGCAGAAAACACCACATTTTCCCCATTCTCGGTCAGACGAAGGGAAAGTACTCTCTCTTTAATGCTTCCTAGTTTGGACGACGATGGCCCCTCTTTCTCCTAGCAATTCCTTTATCAATTGGTCAATTTCATGACTAGATTTAAGTAAGAGAACAACTGCAAGCTTCACTATTTAATTGCAATTCGGTTATTTCTGTTGAAGGTATTTAACAAATCTGACACTAGTTGATTACTTGATCTGTTTTGCAATTTGGTTCTTAATGCCCATGTGATATCTCTAGTTTCATATAATGGAATTAGTGCACTTAAGAGGGTCAATTTTGAACCCCGATACATGAAAGAGCAGGTAAGTGAAGGAAAAGTAGAAAACCTTAATAAGTGAAGGAATCTAGATCTGTGTTTCTCGTTGTCGCACGAGGAGCCCAAATCTTTGGAATTTTTGCTGCTTTTATTGTATTTTTTTTTCTCTGCTTGTGATATTCTTTAGACGTAACTGAGAAGATTAGACTGAGGGAGTTGTTTGGCTAGGGTTTTATTTGGTCAAAAAATTGAATCCTTTTTCATATTGCACAATTAAGAGGATTGAATTGACGAAGTTTTTTAATCTGGAAGGAAGTTTCTTTAATTTTATTATTATTTTTTTATTGTAACTTAACTTCTATTTCACTCTATTCAAATAATTTTAATAGTGACTAACATATAAACTATATTAAAATTATTTGCATCAAATAAGTTCAAATTTACATTATTATCATAGTTTAAATTCTTGTTTTACCACTCCAAAAAGAAAATTTAGAAGCAGTTTTTTTTTTCTTTGAACTGAAGTTAAATGAAGCAGTTATTTTGAGTAATACTTCACGAAGCATTTTAATAAAAATGTGTCTTTCAAGTTTGTAATTGAATTGCAAATCTTTTAAAAAGCATTTTAATAGTTGTGTCGGCATCTTTTTCATGCGATGCTTGGTTTTTGTCTTTTTCCTCTCTTTTTTGGCCTTTTCCTTTTACCAAACCTGTTCCTTGAGGCCTGCTCTAAATTAATAACATCACCCCAAGCTGCCTAATAAAGTGGAAAGAATTATGATAGATTAATAATTATCTCTCTTAGATATTTTTCGATATGACAATCATGTGATGAGTCAAATTTCATGTATTATAATATGAGTTTATCTAATGTGTGTTTTAAAAGTATATGTTAAGATGTAATAAATATAATTTTTTATTATTAATTTATATAAAAATAATAAAAATTTATTTTTATTTTAATATTATTATCACACAAATAATTTTAATTAGTTAATTAATTAAATTTAAATTAATTTTTATTATTTTTTATATACATTAATTACAAAATAATGTATTTATTACATCCTTAAAACATAAAATAGAAAATCCCTTAATATATCTTCAATTTGATCAGAACAAATAATTCACGCTAAATTTATAATGTTTGTGACCAGATTACCTATTGATTAGCTTTCCAAAAAATGGACCACACCCATGAATAAAATAGAGGAGCCCTACCGTCACTGGCCTAGTGGCAAAAAAGGGGGCCAAAAACTTCCAAATGGAGCTCCTCAGGTGCGAGCCTGCTCCCCCTACTCTAAACAGGTCTCGGATTATCCGATCTGCCCGATCAAAATAATAAAGAAAATCATTCTCTTATTATGGTTTATTGGTTGTAATTATAATCTAATAAAATTGTTAATGAATTACACTCTTGATTAATGATTAAACCTTATCAAAAGTAAGATATTAACTTAATTTCTAACTTCTAATTATTTCTCTTGTAAAAAAAAAAAAGAAGAAGAAAGTTTAGTCTTTTTATATCAATTGTCTTCTTGGTACTTTCCTTTCATTTTCTATCAATTGTGATTAAAGTTCATCAACATTATACTTTCATAGAATTAAAAAATATATATATCAACATCGGTATACTTATAATTTCCAACCCTCCTTTTTGTTTTGTCTTTATCGGCATCTACTTTCCACCTTTCATTTATCCACAGAATGTCGCCATCGCATTTTTTAAGATTCTTTTATAAAATATCACTATATATTTTAAAATGAGTTTTTTAAACTTGAAAATTTTTTATTATAAATTAAGTATATAATTAATATATTTTTTATATATTATTTAATATAAAAAATATTAAAATTAATATTAAAATTATATAAATTATTTTAACATAATAATTACATAAAGATAATTTTTTATTTTTAATATTAAATTAATATAAAAATATTAATTATATATTTTAACAATATTA